TCAAATAAAAACTTTAATTTGTAATATTAGTTTTTTTAAAAAAAAATTTGCTCGCTCATTTTCTGTCTGTTTGTGATGAGTATTTTCTACCTACACGAAAATTTCGCGCAGAAAATTATGGTGCTTTAATAGCAAAGTGGCTTTATATTTTGAAATTTTAACTCATTTTTGAAAAACTGCCTTAAAATCGAAAAAACTGCCCTTTTTTTAGCACCTCCTGCTGTTTTTGTGAAATTTTTTTTTCAGGCGATTCCGTATGCGTACGAAGCGATGACCATTTTTGAGGTGAGTTTGGGTCTGGAACACCCATACTTCTTGCAGACGCTTGCCTTATGGACCTATCTGGATCAAAAAGCTCCGAAAACAAACGAAGAACTGTTCGCGTTAATGAATTTCCAATCCAATAAACCAGTTGACTTGTCAAAAATTTTGTTAAAAAATCCCGAAAACTCGTGACGTTGGCAATTACTTTTTAGATGAGCTGTTTAGCAGCTTGTCCAGAGCAAAGGGCCTACAGCAAACTCGCCTGAACATTTCGAACTTTCTACACTAAGGTTCTGTTGCGGATTTGGATCATGATCCAGGAATTCATAATAGATTAGTGGGGAAGCTACTCCACTGCATGACAGCTTTTTGCACGTCTGCGCGTTTCAGAACACCACAAGGTCATTCGGGTTTATTCATTTATTCCCCACTTTGTTGTAACGGTTATGTAATATTTATGTAGAAAAAATATCGCACTATTCGTTCACAATATTTTGTATAAAAAGTGCCATATGCAACTTCACAGCTTAACAACATAACTCATCTACGACCTATGCACAGAAACACGCCTGATATGGAATGCAATCGTCCACTGAAGCATTAGGAAATTTAAACGAGAGAAGCGCAATGTGGATAATTCTAGGAACTGCCGAAGATTTATACCAGTCTCTTTACGATCCAACCATTCGTTTCCATAGTAAACTGGTACTGGAATAAACCAAGAAATCAAATCTGTTGCTATTCGAGTTGTTTCCTGAGTGCTTCTGTTTATTATAGCGAATATGGAGAGGGTTTTGACTTTAACTTGATTTTGTCAGGAGATATTTCCTGGAAATTTTTCATTATTATTCCCATTACTGGAAATGTTTCAGTAGTACTTCTATTCCTGGTAATGTTTTAACGAGTTGTCATAGAAGAGACCGACAAAAAATTACTTTCACTGATGAGAAAAAATAATTTCAGTTCAAGACTTTTTTACGACAACACTTACA